GGGCTCTCTGTTTCCACTAGCCTGAGATTTCATTTTCCCTGGGAGCGTTGATTAGAAAACTGGGGCAGTGGGATTACAAGAGAAGCAGATTTTGCCCAACACAGACATGGGACGAATCCTCACTCTCTCCCCTCCCCCTTTCTCCTCTGTCCTTCCGCTCTCTCGGGTCTTTTTAGAAGAAGGTGCCCCCTCCTCCCTGACTCAGGGTATTGGTACTTACTCTTCCCCGCCCCCTTCTTCCAAGAATGCTATGCCTTATCCTTTCTCATTAATCAACAGTAAGCGTAAATACCACCTCCTTCCTCAGAGACGTTTGCTCCAACTCTCTTTTCTAAAATCGCCTCCTCTAGCCACTGTCAGGAGCCCCGCTGGTGTGGTGCCCTGCTCGCGGAAAGATCAACTCTTCCAAGGGAGAAAGCAGAGGTGCTCTGCTCCAGAAAAGGTGTGCAACCTCGGGGCCCCGCAGCGAGCAGCTCTGCTTTGTCCTGCAGGGTGGCTGTCTGTCCGAATAGGCTCGATGGCAGTAAGTACGTGAGCGAAAGGCATTGACAGGGATCCCCGAGTCGTGCAAATGGTGATGGGCTTGACTACTAACCCAAAGGTTGCCAGTTTGAACCCACCCAGAAGCACCGCAGAGGGAAGGCTTGGTGACCCGTTTCCAAAAGGTCACAGTCCCGGAAACGCCGCAGAGCACTTTCACTCTGGAACAGGTGAGCTGCCCTGGATTGAAATGGTCTCCACAGCAACGGGTTGGTTTCTTGGTTGCCTGGTTACTCGGTAGCCATGGACCACCCATCCTGTTCTGCTTTCTCTTTAGTACATCTTCACTCACAGGCTTTCTTTTCCACGTGTGTCCATTCGTTTATCTTCTCTAAAGTCAGTGCAAGTAGGCTACTGTCCACATCTTCTGAAAACGTGCTGCCCTGACGTCACAGCGACCCTACAGGACAGGGTAGAGCTGCCTTTGTGGGTTTCTGAGGCTGTGACGCTTCACGGGAGCAGAAAGGCTCATCTTTTCCCTGAGGAGCAGCGGGTGGCTTCGAACTGCTGACCTTGCGGTTAGCGGCGCTGCGGGTGACCCACGACACCAGCAGGGCGCCTTATCTTAGTTGCCCCCAAAGAATCAACTTGGCTCCCCAGTGTTAATGGCAGAAGGAAAGGACCGCTACTTCTTCAGGGACCCAACCTGAGTCAATGGACAAATCTCAGGAGCCAGACAGAGCGTCATTTCCTGGCTGTGGGCTTCAAGAAGCCGCTCAGCCTTTGTGGCCCTGGGTGATGATCATTAGGTGGAGGAGAGAATGCAAGAAGTCGAGGTGCACGTCCCGGGGTGATGCACACAGCGCGTGTGATCAACACAGGGCGGCAGGCTCGAGTCCACCCCAGCCTAACAGACTAACAACCGCGGTTCCCGGCTTTGTGAAGCACTTTCCACCTATTGTCAAGGGCCATGGGGAGGACATCCCAAAGCTCCCTGGTGGCACAATGGTTAAGCGCTCAGCTGCTGGCGGAAAGGTTAGCCATTCAAACGCACCAGCAGCCCTGCAGGACAACAGGCCGGGCTATCTGCTTCCGTAAGGACTGCAGTCTGGGACCCTGGACCAGTCTAGGGGCAGCGGTGCCCATGAGTCAGAATCGGCTCAGTCACATACCACAAGGACACCAGGGTAGGAGATTCCGCTGATTATGGATTTAGTAAATATAAGACCTGTTAGCCATTTTAAAAAAAAATTTTCCAACCGGTCCTCTCCACAGTGGTCGGCAGGCAGCAATGGCATAGACGAGAGGGGTCCAGCTCGCATGGACTCTCCGTCCCTTTATGTCCCTCCCCGGACCAGCGTCTCTACAAACCGAGTTCTTTTCTTTTCCCTATTTTAACAGTTTTATTGGTACTGCATCCACATGTCATACTATTCAGTCATTCAGTCATAGCAAGAAGAGCTGTCAATCATCACCACAATCAACTCTAGAACATTGACTTCTCCCTTGCACTCATTATAGACATGTAATCGTTTTTAAAATCATGGCAGAAACATGCCCCACAAAACATTCTCCAATTCAACAACTTCCCCCTGTACAATTCAGTGCCCTGGATTATACTCTTCCTGTTGTTCAACCACTACTGACATCCTTTTCCAAATTATTCCACGACCATTAACATAAACTCAATGCTCGCTAAGCAACAACGCTTCCACCTCCACCCATAGTAACCGTTGGCCAAATTTGTTTTCTTTCTTAGTAGCTTTCTTGAGCTAGTATTCACATATCATACACTTCCACAGTCAAATGTCTTTTAAAAAGAGTTGCATGCACACATCACAATCAATTCTAATGACCCCTCCAGCCTCCGGCATTCATTGCTAGCTCCCCAAGTCCCCTCGCTCTTCCCTGCCCCCCACCCCCATCCTCCATAAACCATCGCATCAGTTATTGTCTCTTTACATCCACTCTTGTCTCTATACATCCAGTATTGTCTCTATACATCCACTCTTGTCTCTATACATCCAGTATTGTCTCTATACATCCAGTATTGTCTCTGTACATCCACTCTTGTCTCTATACATCCAGTATTGTCTCTATACATCCACTCTTGTCTCTATACATCCAGTATTGTCTCTATACATCCACTCTTGTCACTATACATCCAGTATTGTCTCTATACATCCATTTTGTCTCTATACATCCAGTATTGTCTCTATACATCCCAGTGCTTCACAGACTGGGAAACCCAACAGAAACTATAAAACAAAATGGCAAGAAGAAAAGAAGAAGAAGATAAAAATAAAAGCGTAGCAAAGGGGAAAGACCATCATCAATATTTTAAAAGCCAGAGAAGAAAGTTCTGTCATGGAACAAGTGAGAAACGCGTGAGCTCAGAGTAAACTTAGGTTGGATCAAGAGGGAGGTCAACAGACCACGTAGCATGGCATACCATGGCTCTGTCCACCATGATCAAGTTTACAGTCATCTCCGTCTGATGGGAAAGCAAGGCCAGTCCCTGACCCTGTGGTCAAAGGGGATCTGCCAAAGGCTCAAAACCCAGATTTCTTTCTTCACTTAGATGGGGAAGGAATGAAGAGGTAAAGGTTGTTGAGATTACCTAAGTGAGATCATGGCTTGGACCACACCAAACCAAACTCACTCCATTCAAGTCAATTCATCAAGGCTACAAAGAGAGAGATTTACAAAATATTTTATAGCTATATTTTGTTCTTAGATGGAGAGGTCCCTGGAGTGGGCCAACACGACCAGGGTCCAGGAGTTTGTCCTGCTGGGTTTGTCCACGAGGGTGGGCCTACGAGAGGCCCTGTTTGCCGTCTTCCTGACCCTCTACCTGCTGACCCTCTTGGAGAATATGCTCATCGTCTACCTCGTCTGCACTCACAGCGAGCTCCGCAAGCCCATGTACTTCTTCCTGGGCAACCTGAGCTGCCTGGAGATGTGCTACGTGTCTGTGACCATGCCCAGCCTGCTCGTGGGGCTGTGGGCGGGGCCCTGCCCCGTGCCCTTCACAGCCTGCATAGTTCAGCTGTTTTTATTTATATCCTTCATCGGTACCAAGTGCACTCTCCTGGCCTCCATGGCCTATGACCGCTATGTGGCCATCTGCCGCCCGCTCCACTACCCACTGCTCATGCGGCCCCAGGTCTGCACAGGCCTGGCCATGACCTCCTGGCTCGGTGGTCTTCTTTCCTCTATCATCAAGGCCACGTGCATCACGAGTCTGTCCTACTGTGGCCCCAACGTCCTCAACCACTTCTTCTGTGACGTCTCCCCTCTGCTCAACCTGTCCTGCACCCACGTGGCCCTGACCGAGCTGGTGGACTTCATCTCGGCCATCGTCATCTTCTGTGGGTCATTGCTAGTCGCTCTGGCCTCCTACGTGGCCATTGGGAGGGCCATATTCCATATGCCCTCAGCCACTGCCCGCTGCAAAGCCCTCTCCACCTGCACCTCCCATCTGGCTGTAATGGGCATCTTCTACTCCGCGGTCCTCTTCATCTACTCCCGACCCAACCGCGTCAAGTCAACAGACCTCAACAAGGAGCTCGCCGTCATATACACTGTGGTCACGCCCCTGTGCAGTCCGATCATCTACTGCCTGCGGAACAAGGAGGTCCACAGGGCATTCAGGAAGACACTACCCCCACACTAAGTCCCTGCAGTGGGAACTGGACATTTTCCTGCTCTGGACTTACATCACGTACCCAACACATTCGGCATCATCCGTCGTCGTTGTTCTTGTTGTTGTTGGATAATGTCAAGATGATGTTGACTCTGAGACACCACACGGAATGGAACCAAACCGCCCGTGGGCTTCCCACGGCTGCTGTCTCTCCCAAAGCAGGTCTTTCTCCTGTGGGGCTGCCGTGTGGGTTCAACTGCCAACCTAACTCAAATTTGCAGTTGGGTGTTTAACCTATTGTACCATTGTATTGGTCCTTAGGGGGATAAAAATCAAAATGACACCTCTATGAGAGTGGCAATGATAAAAAAAGAGCAATTAAAAAAATGGGGAAAGGGCTGTGATGGGGTGGTGGGGAAATCAGAATCCTCGTTTATTGTTGGCGGGGATATGAAGCGGCACAGACCCCGTGGAAGACCGTCTGGCTGATCAAAAGTGAGCGTGGAGCCATCCTATGGAACAGAAACCAAGTCCTTGGCCTAAACCCCCAGGACCTGAAGTCAGGATCGCCAACAGAAACCTGTTCACCAATGGCCAGGGCAGCAGTTTTAACAATGGACCAAAGGGGTAAAGAATGGAATTTTCCATCGACAGAGGAACAAATCAATAGCATCTGGTCTCTCCACACAGGGAATGCTACTCAGCCATCAAGGGAATTCTAGTCTTGGTGCCAATCTACCTTGCCATGGATGCCCCTTGAAAGCCTGTACTTAGTGAAATAAGTCACTCGCGAAAAGACAAATATTATATGATCTCATTTATATGAAATAAACCGATACAGAGAAGCCAGTAAAGATTAATCGGTGTTCCAGGGATGGGAGGGCAGCAGACAGGGGAGCTTTTGCACCGAGTATGTGAATGGTGGGGACGTGTTCCGGGAAAGGACCGTGGGGATGATGGAGCAACACGGCGGATGCAATCGATGTCACTGACTCCTGCATGGAGAGGCGATTGGGATTGCACGTAGGCTGAAATGTATCTTTTCACCACCATGGAAACGAACAAACCGAAAACTCCTACTCATGTTTTAAAGGCAAATACAAAAGGTAGAGGGATATAGTTGTCGTCTAATCTATAAAGACTTTCTGAGATAATGAGGAAGTCCAAAGAAAACACTGCCATTGTGTTGATTAGGACTCTCAGTGACCCTCTGTAGCAGTGATTCTCAACCTGTGGGTCGTGACCCTTTTGGAGGTCGCCTAAGACCATCAGAAAACACATATTTCCAATGGTCCTAGGAACCGAGACACCACTCCTCTATCCGTCTCCAGGTTTGACCGCCCACATGCAGATACACCCACTTACGAGTACCCGGCATGAACACTGTGACCCATGCTACACCATGCTTCAAGACAAAATGTCATTGATTCATTATAGAAACAAACATTTCACAATCGATCATGACATGTTGTTTTTGTGATTCATCACTATGCTTTAATGATGTTCAATTTGTCACAGTGAAAATATACCCTGCAGATCAGATATTTACATGACGATTCATAACAGTAGCAAAATGACAGTGATGAAGGAGCAACGGAGATAGTTTTAAGGTTGGGGGTCGCCACCGCATGAGGAAGGGTGGCGGCCTGAGGAAGATTGAGACCCACTGTTCTATAGGGTTTCTGAAACTGTACATCTTTACGCAGGAAGACGGCCTCATCTTTCTCCCCTGGAGCGGCTGGTGGATTTGAATCACTGATCTTGTGGCTAGCACTCTCTGACCTAGCCCACCGCTTCATCTGGGCTTTTCAAAATGATGAACCCCCAGAATGAGAAGACACCAGGGACGTGGTCATGAAGAGGAAGGCGACTGGAGGGAACCCTAACTGGCTGGCAGCCTGCAGAAACGCATCCCACAGCTCTGTTCACTAAAGAGACGTGAAGAGAAAGTTCCCCCCGCGAAAAATAGCACATGCATGTAGAATAGAGCGCACATAATAAATGTGCATTTCAGTATTCAGAATGTACTACCTGTACTTGCAAGAATATTGAAAATTGTGAATTCAGGGAAAAAAATGACTTGATTGGAAATGATTGAGATTATCCTGAGTGCCCAATGGTATTTGATCATTTTCCCATCTTGTGTCCATGCTGAGAAATAAGACATGGCCATCAGAGGGATGGGGCTGGCCTTGTAGATCTTGAGGTGGGGAGATAGCCAAGGTAGGGTGTTGAGTTAAATAATTTAAAAATCAGTACATAAATATGTCGATGTTTTTGTCAAAGAATAATGGGAAGACTAATAATTGGGCTGATTATGTTTCTATATCTAGGTGGGCATCTGAAATGCTACATATAAGACAGTTATTAGCAAGTACTTGTAGGGATAGGACTACCTGGAACTCGTATTTTCTATTTTATGCTATTTGAATAACTAACAATACGCTCACATTGCTTTGTCATTGGAAAAATAAACACAGGACAGAAATGCAAAGGATGGCTTTCTGTGGAGTGATGATGTGCTGTCACGTGGGCAGATGTTTTAAAATTTTGATTGTACTAAACAGTAGCTCATGATGGCAATGGGAGATGGGTGGGTTGCGGTGGTATTTGCGAGAACGTCAACCAGTGCCTCTTAGAAGGCACAGGTGTGCCTACAAACAGCCTGGAGAGCCTGAATGGCCTTGACCCCACCGCCCCACTTTGGGAAGGTGCCCTGACGGAGGAAACCAGGTTCACAGGAGCATTAGTCACAAGCGCCAGAAAAGTGGCAACAATCCCACTCTCCATCCACTGAAGAATGGATAGGCACACGACAGCATGTCCATCGGATGGACTAGTATCCCTCGGCTAGGAAAAGGAGTGAAGTGCTGACACGTGCCGTGACAGGTACGGACTTTGGAAACACTGGTGAGTGAAAGAAACCAGTCACAAAGGACCGCGTGATGTCCGATCTGATCTATATAAAATCTCGGCAACAGGTGGATCGCAAACAGAAAGAACATAGATCACTGATGACGTAGATTGGCGGGGGCAGATGGTGAGTGATGGGGTTCCTTTGGGGGATGCTGAACATGTTCTAGAGTTAGAGACCAGGGACGATGGCCCAACTTTGTGAAGATACCCAGATATCTTTTTAAAGGGTAGATTTTATGGAAGGCGAATGACGCCTCCATCAAACATACAGGATCGATCACTTGAGCTCTTCTCTGGGACCTGGTCAGTGTCAGGACCCATGCAGGGTTCTACGGAACGCTCCCTGGACCTCCTTGTTGCGCAGGCAGTAGATGACCGGGTTACACACGGGGGTGACCACCGTGTAGATGACTGACAGCACCTTGTTGAGGTCCATGGCGTCTATGCGGCTGGGGCGGGCGTAGATGAAGAGAGTGGCAGAGTAGAAGATGCCCACTACAACCAGGTGGGAGGCGCAGGTGGAGAAGGCCTTTCGACGGGCGGCGGCCGAGGGCATGCGGAGCACAGCCCTACCGATGGCCACATAGGAAGCCAGGGCCACCAGAAGGGAGCCCCAGAGGATGACAATGGCCGAGATGAAGTCCACCAGCTCGGTCAGGGCCACGTGGGTGCAGGACAGGTTGAGCAGAGGGGAGACGTCACAGAAGAAGTGGTTGAGGACATTGGGGCCACAGTAGGAAAGGCCGGCGATGCACGTGGTCTTGGCCACTGAGACGAGAAGACTACCAAGCCATGAGCACAAGGCCAAGGCCAGGCAGACCTGGGGCCGCATGAGCAGTGGGTAGTGGAGCGGGCGGCAGATGGCCACATAGCGGTCATAGGCCATGGAGGCCAGGAGAGTGCACTCGGTGCAGATGAGGGTGATGAAGAAGAAGAGTTGGGTCATGCAGGCTGTGAAGGGCATGGGGCAGGGCCCCGCCCACAGCCCCACGAGCAGGCTGGGCATGGTCACAGACACGTAGCACATCTCCAGGCAGCTCAGGTTGCCCAGGAAGAAGTACATGGGCTTGCGGAGCTCGCTGTG